ACATGGCGCTAAGGATAAAAAATTGTCGGCCCTCACCCAGGTGGAATATTCCCGCACATCGTGCTCCTGTTTATGGCTTTGTGAAGTCTTTCCCCTCCAGAAACAATCCTATAAAGAGTAAAAAAAGACTAGCTTTTAAAAACTGGAAACCATTAGCATTAGCTGGTAGCAACAGCCTATGCGCATCCCTGAATGAGGTTGGTAAAAATGCCTTTAATAATGGTTCTGGCAGCACGTCATGACCCCATTCTCTCCCGCAATTAACAGAACAACTGGTCGTTCCTCGTCAAAGACCTGCTGAAAGCCGTCAAGATTTTGTTTCTTTTCCCCACACTCGCGACATTGTGATTATCCCATCTTTCACATTCATTTATTGAACTTAAAATTTATCATATTTACTTAAATTGTATTTATCAGAACCTCTGTTGTTTCGAGGCTTGGAGTGATGATTTGGCTGAGCATCAAGCCCCCTACCCCCCTCCACCACCCCTTACAAAAAATAGACACCCCACCCCGCCCTGGATCAGTGACACCCTCATATAATGACCACCCCGGACCCAACTAAGCTCTCATCTCTTCAACATACAGCTGTACCGGTGGGGTAAAGTGAAATATAACGAACCCTACATTAAGGGGAGGGGGGGGGGGGTCTTTTCCATACATATTATTTCGTAATTTCATAAACTATTATATATACGTAGACTTGGTGAAGTCTCTTGTTCTTCTTCTTGAAGTCCAAGCGAAGGATTTGTATAATTTTACTTTTTCGCTCGCCACGGGTGGCCTTATTACTATAACTGGAGAAATGTCATACCGGGATGTTCGTTATGATACCTAGGAGTTCGTTGTGTAATAAGCAGGGGAATAAGTGATCTGAGGCTACGTAAAATTCATTAAGTTGAGGCTCGCTAATGCTAAGAGGATATCAGGAACTGGTACAGGCATGGCACGCACCTGACAAATGGTGTAATTGTAACAGTGAAGACACTTGTATCTTAATAGGACAGAATACATAAGGGAAGAAGTTAATTTATAAATCATTAACTAGTAGAAAGAGGTCTATGAAATTTTATGGCATTAAAACTATTCCAAAATTACAAGGATGTATATTAATAATTAATTCCTTCCACTGTTCAATAAGTAATCTGTACCCATGTTTTAGGGTGCTTTCCATTTGTGAGAACTGACAGGCCAGCCCATTCCCATCGCAATGAGAATTTCACTTTTAATCATATTTTACTATCCACATCAGTCAAATCCTAAATATTATGCACAAAGGAGATGGTTTTTCAGCAAAACCTCTTCGAAAAAGCCTAATTCATTGCCAGAATGTCTAGTCTGGCCATGGCCCGGCCGGCCAGTTCTGACTTTTGAAAAGTGCCCTCAGTTATGGTAGACTACAATCATGTGCTTAGTGTCCTGTATAATTGCGCCAGTTTTCTGTGGAACGCCAGATGCTGTGACACACGGTTAAGAAGAAACAAAAAGGTGAAGCCTCAGCTATATGACCAAAAGGCTAAATGACCCTGAGAAATTGCATTTGAAAGAAAGCAACTGCCGTTCACTCCAGTCAATACTAAAATTTCCTATTTCATTAACAAAAATAATATATAGTATATAGGTGTAATAAAATGAGTAACAATTAACTTTGGTAAAAAATTTCAATAACATTTATTTCTAACAACAAAGATGAAGCCTCAGCTGCATGACCCAAAGGTTAACGGACCCTGAGAACATGCAGTTGAAAGAAAGCAAGTGCCTTTCACTCCAATCAATACTAACATTTCTCATTCATTAACAAAATGTATAGTATATCTAGGTGTAATAAAATGAATAACAAATGATGTTGCTAAAAAATTTCAATAACATTCATTTCTCACAACAAAGATGATATTAAAATTCACCTAAAGCCCATCATCGGTTTTTTCTTGCATATCTGACAGGGAATTTGGTGTTCACCTGTAAATAACAAGAATTGTCATCAACTGGCAAGAGGATGAGTTGTCAACCCAATGCTAACACTAACTTCTAACCACCCCCCCCCCTCCACCCCCCCTCACACAACAAACGTAAAAAACAAAAAACCGTCTAAAAAATGTTGTTAAATAGAGGGGTAATAAGGGGGAGAAGTTAGGATATGGAGACTAGTCCAGTGTCCCCGCTCTGGTTAACTGGTCTCAACGCCCCTACACACCCACGCGCACATGCTAGCATCAAAAAAAACG